TCTAATTGCTGCCTTACATTACCCACAACATACTATAATGAGAACACATGGTATCTCTAGCTTAGAGTGCAATCAGGGCCAGGCATCACTATAATATAAATACTGAAAAGTGATGTGAATGAGAACAAACAATCCTATGATGCAAATGCTGAAATTGACATGTTGACTGTTACATATTGTACGACTTTATAGCTGTAATTATCAAAACAAACTACACATCTTGCCTTCCTAAACTATTGATTCTTATTCATAGCTCTCTTCAGCATGTCCCAATGGCTTCTGCTCATGTCACAACTATAAACTGACTCTAAATAACCTCCTGTCGAAAAGAACCCATTCTGCGAGGGCAACACCAAAAGCTCAAAAAGAGAAAGGAGAGGGAACACGACATAACTAATTGGATTTGTGTAATGATCTTTGACAGATTTGCAGTATTATCAGGAGCAACATACTTAGAAAAAAAAACAGCATATGAAAAACCTGTCTTTACAGATTCTCAGCCACAGCCATAGCCTGTATATGACTAAAGTTTCTATACATTGTTAGCATTGTGTAAATCAAGCTGCGTTTAACACATCTATACACCTGTATGTTTTATCTATATGCATTTTTCCTAATAAAAAACTCTAAAATAATTCTACTCTCATCTTGGAAAATATATCTTAAAAACAAAAATATTCCTGACTTATCAATTCACCAAAGTTTAAGCTCATTGCTGTTAACCCATTGATACCAGAAGTGCACACATACTTACACTACCCATTGTGGTTTTGTTTTCTTAATTTTGTTTACACATGCCAAATAATATAGCCCATATGCTATGCTGAAAGCCATGACTATAGTGGTTTACAACTTTATAATAAAATAATAATAATAGCAATTTGGTAAACCTCTGGCCACAGTATAGGATTACAGAGCCATTTCACTATATGGATATGAACCCCTTGAATGCACTGCCTACAGTGAAAGATGGAATAATGCACTGGCCACATTGATATCATGAATTTATAACCTCTCTGACAGGGATTCGAACCCCCACTGCCATTGCAAAGGTTGTGTATCAGTGGTTAGTAGTGACCGTCTTGTAAGTTCTTTGCAATGGCGGTGGGGGTTCGAATCCCTGTCAAAGAGGTTATAAATTCACTGCCTACAGTGTACCAAACTGCTGATAGTGCTGCATAATGACATACTCTGTGCCATTGGCTTGTTTGAGAGAACTTGTCTTTCTCTGGTTGTAATAACTTCATTTGCTACATGCGATAGGTACCCAATACCATGCTTTAAATGCCATAAAAGCCAGGCACAACAATTATGGGGTTTAGTAGAGAGAAAATAAAAGTACTAATTTGAACACAGTATTTTTTTTTGGGGGGGGGGGTAACTGTAAAAGTTCCATGTTTGATTTTAAAATCCTCAAAAAGGCTATTTCATATGGAAATTAATCTTTGAATTGCAACCCTAATTGCCTAATGCAATCAAAGAAATACTAACAATAATAACTGCAGTAGAAACAAAACCTTTCTTCTCACAAAAATTCAAGGTAAAAAGTGAGATCAAGTAAGTCTGATGACTCCTTCATGAGTATGAGTTTGTGTGGCCATCTATATGTAAACAAAATCAATAAAATAAAACTATAGTGGACAACGTATATATCCAGCACCAATAGGTTACATATTCAAATTGTGAAGCATTTTCTCCAGTCCAGAAAACTACTGACATATGTAAAGAAAAATATATGTAAACTTATAAAAGTTTCTTTCCCCTTCTGGATCATAGTGTTAACTCTATACACTTGCATTTTAACATATGCACCATGTACATATTTTTCTAAGTATGTATGATGTTTGCTTGTAATACATATACTTGCATATAAATCCTATGCAAATACAACCTAACAACTCATACCTTTGAAGAGAACTGGTATGATGCAGTACACGTGAAGAAAATAATGAAAGAATCGAAAATAATAATTTCTTTCAGCAAAACCATTCTCTACTGTCCAAATATAATGAGTAAAGAAAATCCAGATATATGCCTGATAATGCCATTACCATCACCAAATTTCTGTAAGAGAGAATAAATAATTCATCTGAATTTGAGTTAGCCTAAGCGCTGATAACTTTACAATTAAAAAAATTCAATATAGTCTTTAAACAATGATGACATTTTTAAAGGATGAAAACCATACTGCAGAGGAACGCAACCATTAAACTACAAGAAAGCCAACACACGCATCCTTCTGTCCGGCATATTCAACCCAATCACAATGGATGATGTCCTACCTTGTCATGGTGAAAAAACAGACACCAGGTGATGCCTAATCAAGTGACAGATCAATGAGCCCTAAAGTACCCCGGCCTCACCAAACTTTACAGAAAATTCTACCAATCACAAATCAGTTAAGAGATACCTAGAGAAGCTTCAGGGATAAGAAAAGTATGTCTCGAATCAAGTGATGTGACAAATGCAGTGTAATGATGAAAAAGTGCTCAGTGAACTTAATCCACGTATTCCAAACAGTATACTGGGTCATAAACATAAGCATGGCAAAAAAAGAAAAAAAATCTTCAATTTTTTTCCATTAAAACACCACTGTTTTACCCTAATTTCAATTATTTGAATTGTAGCACAACCCAAAAAGTTATAATACAAAACCTCAACCTATACACTATATACAGTATATGTGTACCATAAAACAGTGTGAATTACAACACAGGTTGATTGGAGTTAAATAATCAGAACTTATACATTCTTCTTGCATACTCCATGAATTCTGTGTAATTGCAATGGCACAAGTAATATATGCATAGTCATCTTTTTTAATGAGATATGGAAAAAATATTTTGCAAACTAAATCTGAAATTAAGTGAAAGCCAAAAACCAACTGGTTAACTGCCAAAAAAAAAAAATTTACTTTAAAAGGATTGTAAAAGCTCTTATAAGGGCTTGCTCTTGCACTAGTATCAATCAGCTGTATATGATAATATGCTAAATCTTAGCAAATGTTCTCATCAGAAATATATTTGCATATTGCACATTCAACTGTTTTTCCCAGACGGAGAAAATGGAATGTTTTCCCACTGGTATTGCACAAACTCTAGAGGTGAAGTTTCTTTTGCGCTTCATGTTTCCGCTTAAATTTCTTTTACGTACTTCCACCAGCAACGCCTTAGTCTTTAGAGGCTGTTTATCTTACTCTCCTTTCCATTTACTTTTTACTTTACATGTAACTGAATATGAAATTTCACAAAGGATATTGGTAAATTCTATAAAAAAAATACATATATAAAAAAGGTATAATTCTTTTCTTTTAAATGTGATGTACCAAAGAGTGTTAAGTGCACCTTAGTTCATGGTATCTATGCATGTATATATGAATATGTATCTTATACATATTTTTTTTTGCATGTGTAATACATCTAGCTATGTATAAAGAATACAGAAAGAGAGAGAGAGAGAAGAGAGAGGAGAAGAGAGAGAAGAGAGGAGAGAGAGAGAGAGAGAGAGAGAGAGAGAGAGAGAGAGAGAAGAGAGAGAGAGTGTGTGGTGTGTGTGTGTGTGTGTGTGTGTGTGTGTGTGTGTGTGTGTGTGTGTGTGTGTGTGTGTGTGTGTGGTGTGTGTGTGTGTATGTGTGTGTGTGTGCGTGTGTGTGTGTGTGTGTGTATGGTGTGTGTGTATGTGTGTGTGTTGTGTGTGTGTGTGTGTGTGTGTGTGTGTGTGTGTGTGTGTGTGTGTGTGTGTGTGTGTGTGTGTGTGTGTGTGTGTGTGTGTTGTGTGTGTGTGTGTGTGTGTGTTGTGTGTGTGTATGTGTGTGTGTGTGTGTATGTGTATGTGTATGTGTATATGTGTGTGTGTATATGTGTGTGTGTATATGTGTGTATGTGTTGTATGTGTGTGATATGTGTGTATGTGTATGTGTGTGTGTATATGTGTGTATGTGTGTGTGTGTATGTATGTATGTATGTATGTGTTTATGTATGTATTATGTGTTATGTATGTATATGTGTTTATGTATTGTGTTATGTATGTGTATGTGTATGTGTATATGTATATGTATGTATGTGTTTATGTATGTATGTATATATATGTGTATGTGTGTATGTATGCATGTATGTGTGTGTGTATGTGTGTGTGTGTTGTGTGTGTATGTGTATGTATGTATGTATGTGTATGTATGTATGTATGCATGTATGTATGTATGTATGTATGTATGGTATGTTTATGTATGTATGTGTGTGTGTGTGTGTGTGTACGCACGTGCACAAGTGCGCATGTATGCATACCCATATACATACATTCACATACATACAAATATAAATATGTGTAAAAACTTATACACATACACAAAAACATATACATACACACACATATATGTAAATATATATAATCACACATACACAAATATATGCAGATGCAGACACACACATATGCACACACACAGGCACACACACACACACACAGACACATTTATAATGCATATACAAGTATATATACACACAAGCATATACTCATACATGTGCATAGATTTACCTATACACCCATATGTGTACCAACTAAACGTATTTGTTTATCAAAACATGTACCTCGGAGTCTGCTTTTCTCCACATAAATCTCATTAGAGTCGCGAGTAACATACCTACGAATACCAGTTCTCTTTTCCTAGCCCTGATTCAACCATTTTAAAGATTACCACCTTTTTCATTCATTACGTGAATAAGTCACCAAATGGGTTACTTCCCGAGATTGTTTTGCCAATGCATATTCTGAAGAGTGTCTATAGGTGCTCCAGACAACACTCATAGACACTAATTTTTTGTGGAATATCACATGCATATATGAGATCTCTCTATCCTCACTGTTCCTTAGTATTCTACTAGGTGAGTTTAAGCTATGGCATCAACACAAGTCCAGTTGGTACAAACACACCTTACCAGATCAAGTATTGGCAGATGACAGTTTTGAAATGAAATGCAAGTATAATGTAACATAAAAAATAAATGTATAAAACCAAGTCAGTGTATTCTTAAGAACATTACAGGCTATAACAGCATAAATTTTATTCACTGGTTCTTTTTTTTCTCAGCAGCATATTAAGTAACAAAAAAAAAAAAAAAAAAAATCATAGTCATCATAATACCTACTTGCTACAACAAAAAGTCTTCAAGATTAAGACACACATAACAATAACATAAAAAGGAAAAAAAATGAGAGAGAAACTATGTACAGGTAAAAAGATTTGATATAGCACCATCCGCGAGCGCACAACAACTTTCCTTCCTTTGTTTGCATATTCCTGTCTTCCTTTTTCCAATCTTCCTGTCCTTTCTTCCTCTCTTTCTGTTCCTCTTCCTCTTTCACTCTATCCCATGTGCAAAGATCA